TAGTTCTTTGGACATACTCCCCAGGGGTTGTATAGCTGGAACGTATGGTAGTTCAATTTTTTAATATTTTGAGAAAACTCCATACTGACTTCCATCATTGTATATACTGGTTTTTACTCCCACCAGCAATGATTGGAATTGCTTTGCCTCACATTCTTGCCAGCATTCATTGTCACTTTTCTTGACAATAGATGAATGGTGTGAAATGGTATCCTGGTATGTTTTTGTCAGCTCAACACAAGCTAGACTTGTCTGGAAAGAGGAACCTCAATTAAGAAAATGCCTCCATCAGATTTCCTGCAGTTACCCAAGTAAATAAACATTTTTAAATTTTTTCCACTTCAGTTGTGACTATTAATACTTGTGTATAAGTTTTGTAGTGCTGCAAATTGAACCCAGATCTTTGTACATGATAGGCACACATTCTTTTTTATAAATTTTATTTAAATTAGAAACAATTTTATTTTAGATATCAATCCCAGTTCCCCCTTCCTCCCATCCTCCCATGCCCCCCACTGACTCTGCCATCCCATTCCCCATCCACTCCTCAGGAAGGGTGAGGCCTTTCATGAGGGATCATCAAAATCTATCAAGTCATTTGGGTCAGGGCTTAGACCCTCCCATGTGTATCTAGGCTAAGAGAGCATCCCTCCATGGGAAATGGGCTCCTGAACTGCATTAGAGATACATCCTGGTTCCATTGCCAGAGGCCCCATAGACTGTCCAATGCTCCTAGCTGACACCTACATTCAGAGGGCCTGGTTTGGTCCTCTGTTGGTTTCCCAGCTGTCAGACTGGGGTCCATGAGTTCCCACTTGCTCAGGTCAGCTGTTTCTGTGGGTTTTCCCAGCCTGGTCTTGACCCCTTTCCTCATCATTCCTCCCACTCTGAAACTGGATTCCAGGAGTTTGGCTCAGTGCTTAGCTGTGGGTCTCTGCTTCTGCTTCCATCAGTTACAAGATGAAGACTCTAGGATGGCATTTAAGGTAGTCATCATTCTCATTATAAGGGAAGGACACTTAAGGTAACCTCTCCACTATTGCTTACATTCCTGGTTGGGGTCATCCTTGCAGATCTCTGTACAATTCCCTAGTGCCAGACTTCTCTTTAAACCTATTATGTCTCGCCGGGCGGTGGTGGCGCACGCCTTTAATCCCAGCACTCGGGAGGCAGAGGCAGGCGGATCTCTGTGAGTTCGAGGCCGGGCTGGACCGACAACCTCCAAAACAATACAGAGAAACCCTGTCTCGTAAAAACAAAACAAAACAAAAAACCTATAGTGGCTCCCTCTATTGATGTGCCTCTTTTCTTGCTCTCCTCTATACATCTCTATACACAATCTTACTGACTCCTTGTGTTCTCCTCTCCCCTCCTCTTTCTCCTACCTCCCTCCCCCATCTCCCATGCTCCCAATTTGTTCAGGGGCTCTTGTCCCTTTCCTCTTCACTGGGGGACCGTGTATATCTCTCTTACAGTCCTTCTTGTTTCCTAACTTCTCTGGAGAAGTGGATTATAGGCTGGTAATCCTTTGTTCTATTCTAAAATCCGTATATGAGTGACTACATACCACATTTGTCTTTTTGTGACTGGGTTACCTCTCTTAGGATGGTTTCTACAAGTTCCATCCATTTGCTTGCAAATTCCAAGATTCCATTGTTTTTTTTTCCTCTGAGTAGTAGTCCATTGTGTAAATGTACCACATTTTTCTTTATCCAGTCTTTAGTTGAGGGGCATCTGGGTTGCTTCCAGATTATAGGTATTACAAATAATGCTGCTATGAACGTAGATGAACAGATATCCTTGTTGTATGAATGTGATCTGCTCTAGACTTAGAACAGTGTCTCGCTTTATAGTCCAAGTAGACCTTGAACCTATAACCCTCCTGCCTCAGCCTTCTGAGGTGTCTGGGATATGCCCCTACACTTACTATGGGACACTCCACACCCAGCCATCCATTTTAAATGCACCAAATGCACACTGAGAAATAAGGTATTAGTTTCCAGCTTTTTCAGTGAAAGAATTTCTTTTTCTTAGATGTAATAATTTTATAATCCACAAACTCTAAAGTATACAGATATTATTACTTTGTAGATATAAAGCCCAGTACAGCAATAGGTTATTTGCACAGGATTAGACCAGTAGAACTAGGTTCAAATTATACAACCAGGCTCCTCGAGCTACACTCTTCTGGAAAATAGAAAAATAGAGTATAACTCCCTTAACTTCCTATTTGCTATGAACAGAAGTTCTAAACCCCTTCTTTCTGCCTGGCTTGAAGATTCAACCATGGACAAAGACCCCATCTTTGAAAAGATTTGTTTGCATTAATTTCGTTCCTTACTGGCCCTTTCCAGCTCCAGTCTAGCTCCATGAAACCACACCTGCTCTAGAATGCCATATAAATGGAATCATAACTGAATAGCAGCTACTGGAGTCATTTTCTCCCTGGTAGCAGGCAGCGGGGTTGCCAGCATTGCAGATTCTCTAAGTGCTGGAGAAACAATAGTGAGGGCTGAGGGCTAGTGGGTGGTCTGCTGTATTTGGTAGCCATGGATGCCAGGCACTGTGGGCATATGGTTAAGTGTTCCCGAAACTGGTGCCATGTAGGAAGGACCTGCTTCCTTCTGGGAAAGTGCAGAGTAGTGATGGGCATGGCTTAAACCTGCAGCCCTGAGCAGTGCCTCCAGGCTGTGAAGGTGACAGATCTTTCTGCTAATCCTATTCAAGACAGCATGCATGAACTGGAAAGGAAAGATTTGCAGACAAGTATGTGTTAGACATACAGGAATCATTCAAATCATGCTTCCACTCGAAATGATTTCAGTTTGCCCAGGCATGTGGATTTCATGGACTTCAGGTGATACATTATTTCAAGTTTCTCAGAGAATTGTGTTGGTGGAGTCAGGCATCCAGATGCAAGTTTTTAAATTCTCCGGCACATCAGCTAACTCAGCCTCTCTGGTGTCCTGTGCTTTGACTGTTTGCTGATGGGAAGCAGATGTGGATTCCTCCCAACTCCCAGTTCTGTTTATGTGTGGTCATTTCTTTCTAAAACTCAGTGGAATCTCATATTGCAATTTCTGAAGTCTATGAGTGGCATTTCTCTCTTGTTATTGCTGCACCTCCATTTTACCATTCAAAATATGAGTATCAAGCCATTGACAGTTGATTAAAGTGTGCTTACGGGCATGAGGACAGATGGAGGAATGACATCATGGCTCCCACTTCCCCATCTTCCAGATGGCACTTTCTAAGGACAGATAGCAGCATTTCCTCTTAGGCACAGCTCGCTGGCTCTCTGGTTGGAACAAGCTCTGTTTCTCTTAGACATAGACAATGCGGCTGGCTCCCTTCCTTCACTTGGGGATGCTGAGGCATTTCCAGAATTTCTTGTTGAAATTAAAACTTCAAGCATTAACTACACTTCCTGCTTCAAAAATTTTAATTAGACACAGCAAGAGAGCAGCCTGCTGACTTAGAGTCCTGACCTATTTTTGCATGAAATGACTCATTGTTGGGATTGTATTGAATGGTGGATTTCTGCCCTGTGTTTATTACCCATGCTGGATTTGTCTTCTGATGGTAAATGTGAAGGAGTCATATGCTCTAATACTGCTGCAGGGTTTTACCTGGATTACTAGGACTCTACCACTAATAACATTTTATATGCTGTGCTTTCAAAGTATAACTTGGTTTTTCAATCAAAGAAGAATTATACTGCATATCCACTTTTATGTTTTCCTTGTTTTATACAAGGTAATGTCTATGTGCTCACCTATATATATGATTCTGCAGTATATTTACTTATATGCCTGAGTAATATATCGTAATATATCGTATAAATATGCTGGAATTGTGTTTATTTACTCAATTCAAGTTTGAGATGTTTCCAGAAAAGCATTACTGTGTATAGCATTGCCATGCCATTGGCAAATACACGTAGCCACTGTTTATCTACAGTGTACAAAATAACAAGTCTCAGTATGATGTTTTCATATACGTAGTTGGCTTGTGTTCAGGTTCAGTCTCCCACTGCCCTCCCCCTCTCCCACTAGATTTAGAGTACTTACTACTTTTGCAGGACACAGGTTCAGGTCTTAGAACCTACATGGCAGCACACAACCTTCTGTAACTTTGGTTCCAGGGGATCTGACACACATTTCTGCTCTCTAAGGCAGCAGGCATGCACACAGTGCACAAATATACATGTAGGCAAAACTTCATGTACATATGTAAATAAAACTATCCTTAAAAAAGAAACCCTGAAGACACTAACTACACAGACACTTTACTCAGCTGTCTGTCTGGTGGTGGCATGCTATAAATCGTCATGTATCACTGTCAGTTATAATAGAGAACGGGGCATATGAAATGTGCTGCTTCTCACACAAGCTCTACTCTGCATATTTCCTACCCTGTTCCTTTTCTCTATTGATTTATTTACCTTTCTGTTTGTTATTTATTTAGGGACAAGCCTGAAACTCATTGGGTAACCCAGGTTGACCTCCTCCAGTGTTGTTGTTACAGTGCTGTATCCCCGTGGTCAGTTTTTTTACGTTGCTTAACTACTGGAAACCACTAATCTATCCTTTATTTCTGTAACATTAAAAACTGTGAAATAGTAATTTGAAATAACACAAATGCAGGCCTGATATGATCCCTCACATCTATAATAATTGTACTTGGAATGTAGGGGCAGAAGCATTGTCACAAATTTAAGGCCAGCCTGGTCTGCATAATAAGTTCCAGGACAATCTGGGCATGAAGCAGCAAAAAAATGGAATAGATCTATCAGCTCTATCACACCTGTAACTTCACAACTTAACCTGGTTACTCTTGTTTTGGTGATGTCTAAAGTCATTCCTTCCTATTAAAATGAGGATAATTATATTGTTCCTTCCGCTAGAACTTAAATCGAGGTAAATGAGATAAAAGAAAGGTAGCCTGTGGACTAGAAACTACAATGAAATAAGCAGGCAGAAAGAAAGACCTAGTCACAATGAAGTCTTCCTAAATTTTATTGGCACTGAAATAGAACACAGATTGAGCATAAACCCCTCCAAAACAATTATTTAAAAAATAAAAATACACAAAAAACCTGAATATAAATTCTAACCTCCACAGCCTCTGTGGGGGTGGGTTATTGCCCCTAATGCAAGTAGATTGCCCCCACAATTCCAGGTTTGAATTTAGCCAATATAGGGCAGCTCACCAAGTGTCAATACATTTCACAGCAATGCATATAAGACTCCCCAAGTTTAAGTAGAAGGGGCATGGGCTGAGGGAGGCTCTGGGCTAGGGGTTCTGCATGGAGGGACAATACAGCATTTTGGGAACTGATCCCTGGGGAACAGGCAAACAGCAACACTAAAACCAAATATTAAGTACATTTTAAATGGGTTGTATGACCTATAGTGACAGGTAAATCACTAATACTGAAGTCTTCTTACACTTTGTTTTTTGGCAAAATATCATTTTTTAATCTAGTATATACTTCCCAGACATGGGGTAGGGGTGGTAAAAATAATGAAGCTGAAACGATCCTGTCCCAAGACTAGTATCTCTAATAGTGCATTAGCAAAAAAAAAAAAAAGTAGAAATCAATATCAAGTTAGATATCACTAGAATATATAATACTGGTAAAAATTAGAAGAGCACACATGTGATAAAGAAAAGAGGAAGCAGCTGCTCCACAGTGGAGACAACGGTGTGGGGGTGCGAAGGGACAAGGCCGGAATACCCAGAAGCTTCCCATACGGAGCTCCAAGGGACACCACAACTAGTGATGAGACCTGGCTTGGAGATTTGTCAGAAGCAGGGCCCGCTCACCACTCTGGACTGGGTAAGGTGGGGAAGGGTTACTGAGTGACTGAGAGACAAGCGCTGCTCTTACTCATCATAATGTGTATCTGGGGGAGGACTTTAGAACCCCTGGCAGGGAAAATACTACAGCCAGGTATAAACGTTTCTCCCTTTGTGGCAATACCTTTAGGCACAACTGGCTAGGTTTTAGAGTACTTGTCCTCTCTGTCCTAGCTGGAAGAGATCTGGAGACTGGAGAGGGCAGGAATGGATTCTGAGATGGAACCAGCAACATGAATGAACATGGGGATAGCCTTACCCACAGGCCTAACCTGATAGAAGGAAGGCATGGTGGCAAGAGGTTTTCTAGGTTGTTAGTGGGCTCTCGTGAACGCACTGTTTCCTGCATCCCTTTATCCCTCCTTGGTTGGAAACTGAGTCCCTAAACACAGGGACAAGGCTTATTGGGGCCCAACATGGGAGGTAGAAAAAATAAGAATGACTAAATTTCTCTTTACCCTCCAATCGTTCCAAAACCTAAATAACTCTAAAAGGGATGGTCATTAAGAGGCCAAATCCTAGGTCAGCTGACATACGAAATGATATAGCCGAGGCCCTACTTCTGTCCCTAAACTACACAATATCCTAACTTTGCACATCACAGGACTTGCAAGAAACAGGAAAGGGATGGGAGCTATCTATCAACCTATTTCACACTTGAGTCCCAGAGGAAAACAGTGAGGGGGGGGGTGCTTGTCAAATCAAAAGGAATGAACTCAGGCTGGGGAAACATGAGCTATTCTAGCAAGCTAGGTTGAATGTGACAGAGAAGATGGAGATTCCATTCGCACCACAGTGGGCCATTTCTTTGCCCGGGGATCTGAGTGAAGAGACTGAAGGGCTAAATTTGGTCCCATGGTTATGCTGAATGCTTGGCATGGCTCCAAGGCTTTTCTAGTTAGTGGCTCAAGCACAGTGTTAGTTGGGCAAAACTATAGGAGGATGGGGACAGGGAAGAAGGAGGAGGGGTCCCTAAAAGCTGGAGGCCCACTACATGGACTCAAACTCATCAATGCGCTGTTTGGTATTGCCCTGCCGGATCTGGCGCAGGGTCTTGTATTTGTCTCGTCCCAGTCGCATGTTTTCAGCATGGATCATGTCATTGGCAGTCTTCTTGGACTCATCGCGGGCATTGGCCAGCTCTGAAGTGAGGGCCTGTGAGGATGCAAGAGGAGTCACAATTATCTCCTTTTTTCTTCTCTTCCTTACCCGTAGGTTCCCTATGCACTCGCACACACATGAGCATGTGTCACATGCTCACAGTGTAGGATACATTCATGATGGCTACCTCTTGACAGCAGAACAATCAGAATAATATTCCAAATAGTCAAGTAGCAATTTGGTTAGCTAGATATTTTCTGAATATAAGATACGAGAGTGGTGCCAAGTAGGAAAGAGCTAAATGAGGTACTCTCAGATGTGACTGGTAAGTAAAAATGTCTTCCCTTCAAGTGTCTATAGTCCCAGCCAGACTCCTACTCAACACTGGCATGTGTTTTGGAACATTAGTTAAAGATGTGTCACAGTGCCTTAGCCTGTGGAATATTTGTTTACTGATGCAAAGATGTGTTGCTTTCTTTTATTTTTTATTTTTTGGTTTTTCAAGACAGGGTTTCTCTATGTAGTTTTTTTGGAGGCTGTCCTGGCACTCGCTCTGTAGACCAGGCTGGCCTCGAACTCACAGAGATCCACCTGCCTCTGCCTCCCGAGTGCTGGGATTAAAGGCATGCGCCACCAACGCCCGGCGTGTTGCTTTCTTTTATGATGCATTTGTTTAACTCTCTGAAGCTGAGTTATTTTGCCTGTCTAAAAAACCAGAATGGTCTAATAAAGAGCTGAAGGGCCAATAGCTAGGCAGGAGAAAGGATAGGCAGGCCTGGCAGGCAGAGAGATTAAATGGGAGGAGAGAATTGGGAAGAAGACACCGAGGAGCAAAAAAAGGAGGAAGACATCAGGGGCTAGCCACCCAGCTATACAGCAAGCCATGGAATAAGCAGGAAAGAAAAGATATAGAGAAATAGCAACAGGTAAAAGCCCAGAGGAGAAATATAGACAGGATATTTTAAGTCAAGGAAAGCTGGCTAGAAATAAGCCAAGCTAAGGCCGTGCATTCATAAGAAAGAATACACTTCTGTGTGATTTATTTGGGAGCTGGGTGGAAGGCCCCCAAAGAGCAAAGAGACAGAAAAGAAAGAAAAACTATAGGCATGGGCTCCAGCATGTGTACTGTAGCTCTAGTAGTGGTCATGAGCTATTGAGTCATTACTCCTTATCTGTTGGGCCTGCCTGAATACCTTAAGATGCTTCTGCACACGCTCATTCTTCTCAGCCTCAGTGGTACGCTCCTCTTCACTGCGGTCCTTGGCCATAGCATCAGCCCGCAGCTCAGCACTGGCCTCTGCCCCATTCTCATCCTGCTCATCCTGCTCGTTCTCAGCAGGCTCTGCCACGTGAGGAGTACTCATGGCAGTCTTCAGCTCAGCACGGGTCTTCTCCAAGTCCTCCTGTACCATTTGGGCCTGTCCAGTGATAGAAAGAGAAGCGCTGGCCATCAGATCAGGTAGTTTGTCATAGCCTAATCATACCTAGAAAGTCTAACAAGAGATCAGTTAGGGCAAATGGCTTTATTGGCTTGATCCTGGGATTTTTTAAAATTGAAAATAAGAGTGAGTGTATCTACTTCCGGTATCAGGAAATTCTAAAATATTTGAGAAAGCTTTGAACACCTCCCATAATGACTGTAAAAAAGCTGTTTGTCTAAAAAAAAAGGGGGGGGAGTCTACATCTAGGAAATGCAAAAACTGGAATATACACATATAGCATACTCTTTCCCACAGTGCTTTGCTCTGGATTCTGTATCTTACCTTTTGCTGCCATTCCACAGCCTCACTCTCCTTCTTCTTTCGGGCCATTTCCAACTGAGAGATCCGTGATGTCAGCTCTGCCATTTCCGAAGCCTAGAGACATATTAGAAGCCTGTAAGCACTTGACCTCTGGATGTTCAGGGTCCAGGTGCCTGTAACCCCAGTTCCTCTGCAGAACTGGTAGATTAATTGGCTGTTCCATTTCTTGTTGCCCTGGTGACTGTTTTAACCAAATTACTCTACCCTTTACACCGTCATAAGCCACAGCTCCCCTCCTAGACTACAGGCTTCCTTAAGACAGACAATTGGTCATCTTTGCTCCCATTCTTTCCCTCTTCTCCTCTTAATGTTGCCAAATGTACATGCAGTGGGGCCTCAGCAAAGCTTAGAAGTCACTGCTTGAAGGAGCAAAGTTTCACTGCTATCCTAGGGCTCCACCAAGACTGCTACCAGAACAAATAAATATGAGTATCTCAAGGCTATCTATGCAATGGGGAAATGTTTATGCATACCCTTATGACTTGAGCAAATTTCTAATGACATCTTTTTTCTAAGAGATACTAACACTCCAATACTACAAGCAAAGAGACTATATTAAGGAAATTGGACCCTAGATTCTTAAATTCCAAGTCATAGAACCCTAGTTTGTAGGGAAGGAATCTTTCTCATGGAGACAAAAAAGGGTTGTAATCCTTCATCAAACACAGCTGTGACCTTTGACAAGTCTCTCAGCCTCCATGATTCCCAATTTCCTTGTCTAGTCACATTATTCTGTACGGGCTTTAATTCCGTGGGGCTAATAAGGAAAGAAACAGAAGAAAGCAAGGAAAGAAGAAATGTGGCTAAGCCAACACATGAGAGGTACTCTCCCCTTTCCTAAGAAAGAAGGTTACAGGATCAGATCTCTATGTGAGAAAGTAAATGAAACGCAAGGGCTGTGGAAGACTGAGCCATACCAGTGACACGACAGCTTGCTTTTGAAAGAACTCTTGGAGACCTTTGGGATACAAACAAGCTAGAAACACTCAGCTAAACAAGCAAAGGGATTTATAAACTGGGGGGGGGCAAGCCAGAAAAAATGCATGCACACAGCCCCAGCCCAGGATGCCACCTTACCAGCTGTTCCTGGGTCTTCTTCTGGTCCCGAGAGGCTTGCAGCAGGGCCTCCTTGGCTTCTTCAGCTTCTTGACGCTCTTTGGCCAGTTTTTCAGCCTCGCTCTGGGCACGCTTCCGTTCCTGCTCAAGTTCTAGGGCCCTGCGGGTCTGTTCTTCCAGTTCTGATAGAAAAGGAGGAAATTGATATAGGGCTCAGAGATGAAGATGGCACACTAACTTGCTTCCTGGGAAATTTCCACTTCATGGTACAGTAGGGAAGGGCACCAAGAATTTTTCGAGAAATTCCTTATCTACTGTGTGGACACACCTAGACTATGAAGCCTTGTTGCACAGCTCAGGGAAAAGTGTGCACCTTATTGTGAGGTTGTGGGGAAAGTCAGTGTCCACAGTGACTCCAAGCCTCACCTTGCTGAGCCTTCTTGGTCTGCTCCTCGATCTGCTTCAGCTTCTCCATCAGTTCTTCTTTCTCCCGTTCAATCTTCTCCTTCTCTTTTTCTGCCAGCTCACGCTTCTTCTTCTCATTTTCCAGCAGAGCTCTAGAGAAGGCAAGGAGGGATGGTAACAGGATAACAAGGCTGCATGGCATCCTTGAGGAGTTCCAGGACCTGAGTCTATTAGCCCCCAGCCTCCCAATGAATGACAGAGCTTGCAAACAAGGACCAATCTCACTTTCCTCCATCACATCACTGACGCACAGATTTCTATGCTCAGTCCATTTACCTCAAATTCATGAGACCTAAGAGGAATGCTGGTACTGCAAGTAACCAACTAGATCTCGACGTTGCTCTTTCTTGTTCTCAAACTTCCATCTGCAAAATGATTTACTAACTTTTGCACTTTGTCTTGGAGCTTTATTGCAAGGGGAGCTTGGGTTTTGTGCTTCAAGTCTACAGCTAGGGCTAACTTTGCCTTCCTTAAACCCTAGCTTTAGGTTCCCCTTTCCCAGACTTTGTTGCAGATATAGAGTAAGGATTTGCTCTTTCTGCCATCACTACTCAAGCAAGCACTGATTTTTTAAAGACTTTATTTTTATTTTATGTGTGTTTTTCCTGCGTATATACAATATGTATGCAGTGCCCAAAGACTCTAGAAGATACAAAATTCCCCTGGATGTCGATTTACAAATGGTTGGAAGCTGCCATGTGGAAGCTGGGAACTGAACCTGGGTTTTCTGCAATAGCAGCGAGCATTCTTAACTGCTGAGCCATCTCCCCACTCCCTAGGAAGCATTCTCACTCTCAGACCTTCAGAATGCTTGGCACCCACTTTTTCATAGCACTTTTCACTATTGCATATGCTAAACAATTTGTTTATTTTTATCTGTCTTCTACAAGAATAATGGGTGGTGGTGGCAAACACCTTTAATCCCAGCACTAAGGAGGCAGAGGCAGGTGGATCTCTGTGAATGCGAGGCCAGCCTGGTCTACAGAGTGAGTTCCGGGACAGTCAGTGCTGTTACACAGAGAAACCCTGTCTTTAAAAACTTCTACTACTAGAATGATAGCTTCACAAGATGAGGAATTTTTGTACTGCTCAATAAATATTTAAGAGAATTAATGATATAGTTTTTGTACCTCAAGACTATGTAAGTAAGACAATGTAAGCATATATGTTTATGTATTTCCTTCATTCTCTGTCACTAGACTGTGAGGTCCTACAGGGTATGTTCTAGTTCAGTAAACTGTTCCCAAAATCTTGGTAATTTATTTTTCTCCTTAATAAATGAGAACTATGGCATGTCAACATAGCTCAACGATAGAGTACTTGCCTGACATTCACAGAGCTTTGAGTCCAAACACCAGTGTTGGGGGGAAAAGTCAATCTTAGTTGGGGGGATGCACATGCGCTCAAGTACCCACACACTCATGCATGTATATGTGTACACACATACATATATACACATAACACATATAATTAATGTTGCCCTATAAATATATATATATATACATAACACATATAATTAACATTGACCATAAATATGTATGTATGTATGTATGTATCAGAACCAGGTTCGTTGTGAGAAAAAAATACATGCTCATTTTTAATTTTTATTTTCATTATTTCAGACAGGGTTTTACTATTTATTCCTAGCTGGCCTTGAACTTACAGCACCTTTGTGAGGCTGAAAACTGATGCAGTCACTTTGAAAATCAATATAGTGATTGCCCAGAAAATTGGGAATTGATCTTCCTCAAGATCCAGATCTACCACTCTTGGGCATATGCCCAAAGGACACTTCACCATACCACAAGGACTCCTGCACAACTATGTTCATAGCAGCTTTATTCACAACAGCCAGAAACTAGAGACACTCTAGATGTCCCTCAACCAAAGAATGGATAAAGAAAATGCAGTATACTTCCACAGTGAAGTATTACTCAATTATTAAAAACAGTAACATCATGAAATCTGCCGGCAAATGGATGCAACTAGAAAAAACCATCCTGAGTGAGGCAACTCAGACCCAGAAAAACAAACATGGCATGTACTCATTTATAAGTGGACACTAGCTATAAAGTAAAAGATAATCATGCTACAATTCACAGACCCAGAGAAGCTAACTAACAAGGAGGGCTCAAGAAGGGACACTTGAATCTCCCTTGTAAGGGGAAACAGACTAGATTACTCAGGTAGGGGTGGGTGGGGATGGGAGAGTACTGGAAGAGGTTCTTCCCTCCAGCAGCCTCTGAAATCCCAGACTTTTGGTGCCTGTTTCTAAGCAAAAATGTCTGGGCTGAGACTGAATTTATGGAGTTTCCTCTCCTCTACAGTTCAGAAGTCCTGGTCTTGGAATGTTAGGACACCCTAAGCAATCTAGGAAGCTTTTAGAACCTCCCTTACCAAAGCAGTAGCATGAGGACCACTAACTCCAGCACTATAGCACCTACCGCTCCATCTGCTTCTGGTGTTTCTCCTCCCGAGCCTGTGCCTTCATCTGCTGAACCTCAATGGTGTCAGGCTTCCGCCGACGCATGTAGAGCTCATGATTACCCATGCACAAGGCCAAGATCCTCTTGTTAATCCGAAGCCGGGGAGCATAGAACACAAAGTCCTGGAGGGAAAAGAACAGTTGAGTTTTTAGGGCTGATAAGATGGCTCACATACACCCTGGAGCATACACATGCGTGCGCATACACACCAGTAATAAGATAATGAACTGATACATTTTTGAAATGTTGAGAAAGAGGTGAACGTGACCTGGCTTCTGTAAGCTAAACCCAAAAGTACTGAAAAGACCGTGTAATCCAGTCATTTGCACTGCAGTCAGGATACTAATCACCAGGGTAAGGAAATGGTTTTTCCCAGAGTCAGTTGTCAGGCAGGTGGTAGACTTGAGGCTAGAACTCATGTTTCCTATCTTTGACATCAAGTGCTCTTTCCACCAAAGCATCATTTTGGCCAGCTCTGCTCGGGAAAAACAGCCTGGGACCAGCAAGATGGCTCAGGAACTAAATGTGCCTGCCACCAAGTCTGACAATAAGAGTTTGATGGCCAAAACCAACATAGAGAAAGAAAACCAATTCTAACAAGTTGTCCTCTGACCTCCACGTGTGCATCATGGAGTGCATATCCTTCCACCTCCTCCACACAAAATAAACATGGGAAATCCAACATTGAAAATCTTTAAACATAAAACAGCACCTTAAAATACGTTATCTTAAGTGTCTTCCTCTGCTATGATTTTTTCCAGTTTTCAAAGCAAGTTTATTATTAATTCACAGGTGGGAGCTTAAGAGAGCCATGACCTTGAGTTAAGCCAATATGGAAGTCAGTCACATGGTGGCAAAGTAGCCATATTGCAGGGAGATCTTTACACAAAGTGTAAAAAAGCCCAAAGCACCAGAGAAAGCACATGCGGTTCTAGTCAGCATTTGAAACAAAACCACAGAAGAGAAGATAATGGAAAACTTATGTCCCTACTGCATCAGGATACAGTAAGATAAGCACGTCCAGCAGAACCTCATGGCAACTAACAAACTAAACTATGGGGTAGTAACAAGGAAGGAAAAACACACTGTCTCATTAAAGAGATAACTATTCTACTACTTCTTTACCTTAGCTTAGGTTAGATTAACCTTTTAAGGAGAGGTACTTCCTTGACCTAGTGATTGACTGGCCCAACTGAATTAACTCTTAAGAGAACAGACCTTGTTATGTCTCTCTACCTGAAGTCTAACTACAGTTCTAAAATGACTCTCAAAGGGCCTCCTATAAGATAGACAGTACTCTAGTCAATAGGTACACCATGGGTGTCTAAACTATTTCTGTAATCCCTAAAAAGTGTGTTCTAGATACAAGAAAGAAAGCTGTAAGTACACAAATATCTGAATTTCTTAAGCATCAACTATCTTGATTGCTATTTGTTTTTAAAAAGCCTTTGTGTTTTACTGAGGACTATGTACATGAGCACTTCACCTACATCCTACTTGTGTGACTCCCCAAAACTCATGACCTCTTTTTTAATTATTATTGCCACATACTACATAAACTGTCAAGTTAAATAATAATTAAAAGGCACATTTTAGAGGGTATGTTAATGCATGTATGTAATTCTAGCACTCATGGGCTGAAGCCTGAAGGTTACTTTAAGTTAAGGCCAGTCTGGGCTAGAGTAAAAACTTTGTCTTAAATACTCTTGGGTAAAGAGATATGTGTAAAGCAAATGTTTAATCTTCCTTTATTAAAAGGTAAGTTTGTAATGTCACCTTTGGATTTGAACTTCTGGCTCTGCCTTCTTTCCACAATGAAACATGAGTCATGTACACAAAGAGTACATTTTGGGGACTTAGGAAGGTGAGGCAGTGGCAAAGCAGCAGCACCTAAGTCCTGAAGCTCACCTCACCCACCCAAAGGGAGTCTGATAATAGAGAGGAACCAAATAAAGGATATCGCCTGGCCATTTCTCACCATCAATGTCCTCTTACATTTTATTTTTCCATTTGTGCTTCTTGTTCCGTTGTGTACAAGTTATACACAACAGAATATAGAGATACAGACAAATCCAATGACGTGTTTGCTCTTAGAATTATCTAAGCCTTGGCAAAAACCTGTCATGCATAGTCAGGAGGAATCACTCACCGGGGCTTTTTTGTCAATAGGCTTGATGACAAATTTCTTATCATTGAAGGAGATATTCCTGATTTCACTCCAAGGGAAGCCAATCTTAGGAGTCAGTCTGGAGAAACAGAGGCCAATAACATCATGACAAATGACAAAGCAAGAAGGAAACAGACCTAGTGTCTTGCCTTCACTGCCACCATTCCCCTAACACAAACTTCTCCCTTGAAGAGACAGACTCACTGTTAACTCAGCTACTATTATTACTTATTACCCTTTGTTTTGTTCCATTTGGGGTAGAAGCAAATACCTTATAAAAGCCTTCCAGAGGATCTGCAGCAATTTAACCGAGAACCTTCTACATAAAACCATTAACTTCAAGAAGATAAATAATGAACTCAGATGCCGGTGGTAAATGGAATAATAATCTAATAATTTCATCCTTACCAAGAGCAGACCAAGGAGGTGGGGATAAACAAGAAAGAAAACACTACAGCAAGACTTATAGGTCAAAAGACAGTACATCATGAGACGTGAACTTTATGAACCCTCACAAGACAGACTCTAGCTCAGAAAAGTTCAAAAATCATAAGGGTCACATTTATAAATGTCCTAGTAGCTATAAGAAAATGAAGATAAAGGAAATATGATGACCTAATTTTAAAGGCTTAATTAACCCTGTAGATCCTAATACGATCACTTGAACATATAAATTAACATTTAAAAGTATAGATACATGTTCACATCACTGTAGTTTGAATTATTTTTGCATGGGGAAGCAGATGAGACAAGGTCTCACATTGCCCAGGATGGCTAGTTTTATGTCAACTTGACACAAACTACAGTCATCTGAAAGGGTGGGACTTCAACTGAAAAAATGCCTACACAAGATCTGACTATAAGGCATTTTAAAATTAGTTACTGAGAGCCCACCCTTTTGTGGGTGGTGTCGTCCGTGGGCTGGTCTTCCTGAATTCTATCAGAGAGCAGGCTGAGCAAGCCATGGGGAGTAAGCCAGCACCTCTTCATGACCTCTGCATCAGCACCTGCCTCTGGGTTCCTGCCCTGCTTCAGCTCCTAAGCTCACTGCTTTTAATGATAAACATGCAAAACTGAATGAAATAAAACCTTTCCTCTGCAAGTTGCTTTTGATCATGGTGTTTCATCAGAACAATGGCAACCTTATACTAAGTAAGCCTCGAATTAACTATTGGCCTTGAACTCCTGATTCTCGCTGTGTTTACTTCTTGAGTGCTAGGGTAACAGGCATGCACTACCATACCCAGAATAATTTAGATATTCAATATTAAATGAGCCCTGGCAAGCTAATTTGTTGAAAGCTAGGTTCCCAGATAATGGCATTCCTAGTGATGACGGAGCTTTGTGAATAGGGCTTGGATGAAGGAAGTAGGTTATTGGGGGCATATCCTCGAAGGAAATATTGGGATTCCAGTCCCTTCCTCTTTCATTGTCTATTTCTCAGCTGCCATGAGGTCAGCAACTACATGCTCTCCACCATGAAATTCTACCTCAATACAGGCCCGAAGCAACTGCATCAAGTAAATACACAAGCCAAAATACATCTTTCCTCCTTGAAGTTGATTTCTCCCAGGAATTCTGTTATAGGTATAGAAAGATGATTAGTACACATTTTTATTCTCATAGCAGTTCTTCGAAGTGTGGTATATATAGTTTCCATTTATGACACATCTCAGCTGTAATGACATTTCAAATATTCAATAGTCACATGTGGCTGGTGACTACATAATAATAGTACACCTTTAGTTAACATAGGAGTAAAGAAGCTATACAAACACCTTGGCTGGACTTCATTAGGTAGAAAAATAATTGAGGTGTGACTCAAATGGGATAGCCTTGCTCTGTGGTAAGGGATGACACCTATGTTTATGAGAAGCCTCAGGTATACCTGTCATTCTGCTCATAGATGTTGAGTCCCAAGGCATCCACACCCAGCCATAGCTCTGAGCCTTTCTTGTTCTTGATGCTGAAATAGTTCACACCATACATCTCCAGGTCTTGAGCGATCTTGAGATATTCCAGGACAGCATCCTCCCTATATGATGAAGAATGGGAGAGAGGGACTGTCACACAGTAGCTCCCACGTCAGTCGCAGAAACATAAAAAAGCCAGCTTGATCTGTGTTTCTGACCACAGTATTGCTCACAGGATTAGGAAATAGATAGAACGTAAGCAACTGATGAATAACAAGAGTATGCATCAGTTCTGTTAAATAAAACCTGCTGACAGATGAGGCTGTCCCTCATCTTTGGGAATATCAGTTGTACGGAAGCTATTCTCCTTCTTTTTCATGTGACACCCTCTTAGAGAAGTGCATCACTAGCAGAATTTAGACAGAGTGCTGATGGGGAGATGACATTTGCTCCTCAACCATCAAATACCTTTACAATGTTTAAAGAGCTCCTTTACCATTTCTTTTTAGGGGTGGAATCACTAGTCCAGAAACTTCCAGGAGACCCTGATGTTCCTTCCTTTTCTCTGCAGTCAAAACTGATTAGGATGTAGGGAGTGGTGGAGCATATCTGTAATCCCAGCATCACCTGTAATCCCAGTACTTGGAAGGTAACGGTAGGAGGATTGTGTGTTCAAGATCAGCTAGGCTACATACTGAGATCATTTCCCAAAAAACTTCTGGGGCTGGCACGATGGCTCAGCTGGTCACAGCATTGACCAGCAAGTCTGACAACCTGAGTGCAGTTACTGGGACCTACACGGTAGAATAGAAGAAGAGAATAGACTCCCAAAAGTTGCCTCTGATCTCAACGTGTGCACCCCAGCATGAAGCAATGGTGCACAGGCACATGCACAAGAAAGGGGGGAGAAAGGGAGGGAAAGCCTGCATGTGTGCATCACATAAAATACATATGAATGTAATAATTCAAAAAATTGTTGATCTGGGTTAGTGAGATGCTTCCATGACTAAATGTGCTTGACATACAACCTAACTACCTGAATTCTCTGACCTTCAAACACTCACTGTGACACATACACACACAACATGCATCACACACACAAACACCATGGAAAATAATAAACAAAAAATCATGTCTTAATTTGATAATTAATGATCTTGTTTACATTAAAATTTTGCTCTTACAAATAAAAATAAAGGTCTAAAACTAAATCACAGTCTTACAATGACTCAAGTTTGACTTCCATATTTAAGTACCCAAACCATCCCTATGTCTCTGTCTTAAAATCCAGCAATATTCCTAATCATTTGCCTCTTCATTGTAGACCCCATCCTCATTCTCCTTGCAAGGACAATGAAGTTCACAGCTGGTAGGAGAGGCTTACCTGAGCATGCCTCGGTGTTCCTCATGCCACACCTGGATCCGCTCCTCCCACTGGTCCTTGTTGAGTTTGTGCTGCTCCAAGACTCTAGAAAGACAGTGAATGATCAGGTAAGCAGAGATCACAGGCAGGAGGGAAGGGAAACTCACTTAGCTCTCTACAGTGTTGATGCAAATGTGAAGTTAGCCCACTGAGGTATTGCTGGATCCATATTGAAAATTAGAGTTGAATACACTGAAGCAGACATAAGGAACTTCCTAAAAGAGCTCCAAGAACAGATGACCAAACAGGACAATTGAATCACCCTCTTTATTCATTCATTCCTCATCTATCCATCCATCCATCCATCCATCCATCTACCTATCTATCTATCTGTGACAGGGATCCATCTATTTACTTGATTGTTTGTTTGAGACAGGGTCTCTCTATTATGTAGCCCTGGCTACCCTGAAACTGATTATGTAGACCAGACTGGCCTCAAACTCAGAGAGCTTCACCTGCCTCTGCCCCCAAAGTGCTGGGATTAAAGACCAAGCCCTCTTCATTCCTTTAACCACAAAGGTAATAATGTGTTGAATCTCCAAACTCAACAATAATACATCAGGAGTCTGTGTTAGGGGGCTAACAGTACAGATAGGCAGGGATATTCTCTCCTACACCCCCTTGGGGCCAAGAGCTGGTATTCATAAGACACCTTGGATACTGGGCAAGAAAGCAGTCCCAAACTACTCTGAATGAAACCAATAGGCCTGGCCCATATGTTAAACAAAGCTTGTTTTAAATATGCCATCTCAGACATCATGACACTGACTACAAAAGTTTCCTAGGGCACAATTACTATCTGAACTATCTTCTGATGGTATGTGTATAGGCCACAACTCCCATTCCTCTAAGGATTCCAGAATCAGGCTTGCTTAGTTTTTCTTCTCCTGTTCTAATTCAAAAGCCTATGGAAACGGCTTTTGCAAAATGAAACAAAACCTCTAAGGTTAAAAAAAAGAATAAAGACATTGGGAGTTCAGGTCAGTTTTGCTTCAAATGTGAAAAATGGGGCAAATCAGAGAGAGTACCTCTGTTATCTTCTCTCCTTTCTGAGCCAGAAAAGAAAGAAATCGCTTTGCTTTGTTTATTTGGCATTGTCATGATGTTAGAACAAAAATATTAAGTGTTTAAGAGCTGCTTTCACCTTTGAAGTTTACAAAATCAGAAAACTCTGTATAATGGTACCCGTGGCTTGCATATTTTTCTCTCTTTCTCTCCTGTGAATTTCTAAAATAAAATCTCATCAGTGAAGAAGAAATGAAAACGGGGGAGGACAAAACAAATCAACCCATCTTTGGTTCTACGTAAGCACCTATCTCCAGGGTAATGAAGCTTTGAAATCAGGAAGAGAAAGCAGGAAAATGCTGTTTGGGGACCAGAAATACAATCGGATATAATACTATATGCAAATGTGTCTCTCTGAGCAGCTCAACAGTCTTTAGACAGAACCTAGTGGAAAGAAACTTATCTGGCACCCCACATGGACTGGGGACTGGCCAGCTTTTGGTTGCTACCCACTCCCCACTGTAACCAGGCCAAAGAGACCAGAGTACCACCTCACCTCTGGGGCAGCAGCTTATCTCCTGCCAGGTAGCCAGACTTGTGCACTTCCTTATTGAAGTCCCCGTACTTAGACTGGACGGCATAGGAGGCCAACAGCACAGCAGTTTCAGGCGGGCAATAGATGTCATCATTGAGAATGCCCTCCTTCACTTGCAGAAAGAACAGGCGCTGGGTGATATCCTGGATCAGTTCCTCAGACACATCCTCTGGGTAGAACTTGGCCCGGAACTTGAAGAGCAGTGGACTTTCCTTCCGCACATCCTGTGCAGTCACCTGGGAGGAACAAGGAGGTTATGTAGGCTCTCAAATACTAGATTTTGGTAGTGGGAGAGTGCTGAGAAATTTTAATTTCAAGTAACCTCCAAAGCCTGAGAGGCCACTCTCCTCATAATTTAAAACTAAACTAAACTAAACTAAAACACAGAAGTCACTGGGAAATCTCACATATATTTCTTCCCCTTGGAAATTTTCTTCTTAAAATTTCTAATACACACTGATGACAGAAGCCACCATTACCTGACAATATAGCTCAATGATTTCAAATTCTGGGAGTAGGTTTAAGAACAGTCCTCTCTTTTAAGCTTCTTTTATAAAATGTATTGTAGTTTATATTTTTTTCTGTATTGGGGTGCTGTGTCAAACGCATGGCTGGCACCTATGTTGGCCAGAAGAGGTCATTAGACCTGCTACATCAGTGCTGGGAATGGAACCCAGATCCTCTGGAAGAATAGTCAGCGCTCTTAAGAGCTGAGCCGAGAATCTCTCCTAACTCTAAAGCTCCTCTTTCAAGTATTCTCCTACTTTATAAACTATTGCAGAAGTGCAAATCTAATTGAAGCTGCAGAATTGGCTAGGTTAGACACTAACCACATGAACTTCTAAAGCCTGAAAATGGCTCCTACTTTGTGGAGCAAAAGTGGCTACTGTTAGGGCCAGCAGCATGACTCAGAGAGTAAAGGCATTTGCTTCCAAGGCTGATGACCTCATTTAGTTCCCAGGGAACAACAAAATGGAAGAAAGAACTGGCATGTTTACCATGGCATGCATGCGCGTACACATACACATACATAGTAAATAAATGTAATTCTACAAAGTCTCCATGCTTTAACAAAACAAGATCTTTGTTTTATTAGCAAAAGTGAGACAGCCACCTCTAAATACAATCAGTAAAATGAGCCACAACACAGTATCCAGTCCTGTAAGGTCAAGTCAACCAGTTTTGGGAGTATGGAGTGGGAAGTCTGTCAGGTGTCTGCAGATGTTTAAGGCATTTGGGCTCTTTCTTACAGCTCTACAGACCTCAAGAAAGGGATCTCAGCACCTGAAACCACCAGAAGCTTTGGTCCACAACAAGTCTAAATTAAAGAATCCTCTCCACTCCTTTTGGGGTGGCCATCTTGCTCAGAAGTCAAAGTTGAAACACAACAACTTTGCCTGAGTTGAGTTCTCTGCCTATATTTTGATGAAAGTCATCAGTAGGGCTATGTGGAAGCAAGAAGATCAGATGTTCAAGGTCACCGTCTGCTGCACAGAGACCTTGAGATCTGTCTACAAGGAGAAATCCTTTCTCAAAATAAAAACGCAGGGTGGGAGTTATGGAAGCTGCAGAACCAACCATGCAAACAAGTAAAAAACACCTTTTGTCTAAAAATGACACAATCCTATATAAACATGGAAATCTTTGTCTGACTTAGGACAGCTGGGGAAGTCTGGTTGTTCCCCTCCATGTAACTTGGTAAACTAACAATCTAAACACTGTTCCCTTTGTTGTTCAATATATTACTAAGTATCTCAGGGTTGCTAGCAAGTCTATGTCATTAGCTGGAACAATTTCTGACAGCAGTAAGTGATTACCTTCTTATTGAGTTTCAGCCAAGTAGAAAAAGCTTTTGTGTCCTGGTATTGCAGACCAAAGAACCAAACTTCCCTCAAGCCAATTGTTTTCACCACCTGGAAAAGACAAAACAGTCACTGGTTTAATATCTAGCCCATGCCAGGAATTAAAGAACATAAAGATGGAACTAACTTATATTTATCCTTAAAGGGTTTAAGGTTCTGCCAGTCTGGAAAGAAAGTACACCTAAACAAGCAGTCAAGAACTGATGTCTATTGGCAGTTAATGGTTCCTGGAGCAGCGAGAGTCCATCTTCTTCAGAGATGTGGCCTTTAGTAGGTTTCCCATACTCCAGTTAGTGACTCTATACCTATGAACATACTGGCAAGACTAATTAGACTCTGTGGGTTAAAAAACTGAGAACATGAAGTTGGGAGGGCGAGGGTCTGAAGGTAGCTCAATGGAGATGAATATGATGAAACACATTGTATATATGTGTGAAATTCTTAAGTAATTAAGAAAAATGTATTTTAAAAGGAATTACTGTCATACAAGGAGTCTAGATTTAAAAAAAAGAACATAGAAGTAGAAGGGGAACGATTTAGGAAAAGGACAAGGCCCAAAGGATGAAAAGACAGTCATTATAATAAAAATGCAATACACGTGTATGAAAATGGCACAAATCCATGACTTTTTTCTTTTTTTGGTTTTTCGAGACAGGGTTTCTCTGTATTGTTTTGGAGGCTGTCTTGGAACTCGCTTTGGAGACCAGGCTGGCCTCGAACTCACAGAGATCCACCTGCCTCTGCCTAAATCCATGACTTTTTACAATTAACATATGATTAATACATAATAATGAATGATAAAAGAAAGAACTGATATCAACTTCTCTCCCCACTAAGTGCTAATGTGAACACTGGTACACACCAATACCTTACTTACAACCACTATCATCTTCCCTATGACACAAGTACAGTGATGTTCATTTTACAGATAGCAATAGTAAAAGTCCAGAAACAAAGTGATATGCCCAAGGTGCAGATAGTAAGTGACAGAGTCAAGATTTAAATTATGTTATATTTCTAAATCAAGTGAATTCTCCTACTTTCTGCCACTATTTCCCTTCTCCTATAATACTATATAGCTATCTACTCCCAGAATAGATTAGAGACTATAGACAAAGATTCTCAGGTTGACTCCTGAATCATAATCTTCTGGGGATAGTCTCATATATTATCCTTTGCCACTTTTTTTTCTATTTCCTATAAAGAATATTACATAGGGCATGGTAATACATGCCTGTAATCCCAGCCCTCAAGAGGAGGAGGTGGAGGCAAGAGGATCAGAAGTTCAATGTCAGCACTGAGTCCAGTTTGGGTTACATGAGATCCTGAGCTAAAAAGGGAGAGATGTGCTTACTCTGAGCACTCAGGAGGTAGAGACTGACTGGTCTCTGGTTTCTGTGAATTCACCACCAGCCTTGTCTACATGGCAAGTTCCAGGACAGCCAGGGCTACATATTGAATGTCTGTCTCAAATTAACAAAGGAGGCACATTTCAAAAGACACAGTGAACAAACAGAAAAGGTGCAGAGATGCAACTGAAGGAGAACAGAGCTCCTATGTCCCCAACTTAGGCCTTTAGGTTTTTATGGACGAGTTACATCTTTAGAATTGACTGAACTGATAGTCATTAGTGTCATCAATTCAAATTTCACAGCTGTCCTTTATTGATGACATTAATAGTCCCAACTTCCTCATTATCTGATTGGGGCAAACAATTATTAAATGATCTCACATGTAGGGATAGGTCTGAGAAAAAATTTTAAATCTCTTTCTAATCTTACATTTAACATAGGACCCAACTAAGAACTCTGATTTTTTTCCAATGCAGTTTCAGAATTCTAACTGAAATGTAACTGGTGGGAAGAAGAAAAGTTCCATAAACATTCAGATCCTGGAGAAAGAAAAAGACCCACTGAAGACAGTATAGACCACAGGGCTAGCATGCTTAGGTACTGAAAGGGTGGGGCATAAAAAGAATAGAACTAGTGAAGCAACAATTGGCCTTTACCTAAAACAAGAGGCTAGTTGTGCCAACTCAGAAAACCAAGGACTGAAGGGGATTTTGATAGGAACACTGCCTCTTCTTTTATGAGCATAGGGAAATCAAAACGATATGAATTTTCCACTTCCTTAAGCTCTTGAGCTTGGAGAGATGAACAGTCTCTCAACCAATGCTCAAGTTCCAAAATGAGGATACGGGAAGAAGGAAATACAGTCTGAAGTCAGAACTGATACTGAAAAAGAACAAAGACAAAAGAGATGGCCAGTGACTACAGGCTACAAGGAAATAGCCAATTATGGTTCACGGAGTGATGCGGTCCATTTAATCCGGCAACTCCAGGCTCCATTCCAATTCCAAGAACAAGGATATTGGGCCAAGAATTACTTGCTTCCAATTTTATAGTAGCCAAGACCTCCATTTCAGGTGGGGCAGGGCTGGGGGGAGGAAAGACCCTGCTTTTTCAAGTTACAGAAAATAATCAAGCTCTTTTTTTCTGGGAACAAACCTCTGTAGATCCAGTGGGTAGAGTACTTATAATCCTGAGAAATGGTTCCTTCCCCTGGGGAAAAAGTATTTGCTCCCTTTGGTACCAGACTCCCTGCTCATAAGACCTAAGCTAGTGTTCCTCAATGCTGCCCTTGAGAAAGCCTTAAGCAGTGGAACACAGTGAATGACTATACAAAACATGCCTAGGGGTACGGTGGAAGTGAGAGATACGCCAGAAGCATCATCAATCAAGGTGAGTGGGAAACTATCCCAATAAACACACTTTGGGTGAACAAGAAAACAAAAACAAAAAACCTAGAGACTGTGAATCTATTCTGTGTTCAGCACTATTTCCCCAAATAGTCTGTGGAGAATAAACAGGGTTCACACAGCATAGGCTAGTAAAGTGAAGACCAGATGTGCTATCAAACTGTCTTCAAATTAAGTGTGCATCCCACATATAAGAACTACTGTCAGCCTTAAAAGTGCGGTCATGAACTTACTCACAAAAGCCGTGATTGCCCACATGAGACCTACGTAAGATTTGAGTTAACATCCTGTCACGGAAAGGGCTTTGTGATGCCACACCCATCTTGGAAGATCTACAGGCAGTTATCAGTTGGTACCCATGCTTCTGTAAAGGGCCATAAGGAAACTTGCAGGTTAGGAGAGGGCAGACAGGAAAGTCAAAGAGGAACTAGTTGAGAATAAGAAAGAGATTGGCAGGAGTGGGAATTGAGACTAGTGGGAGTAAGGGAGGGGTGAATAGAACAAAATACATTAAGTACATTTATTGAAAATGCCATACCAAGCTTGGCATAGTGGCACACACCTTTAATCCTGGCACTCAAGAGGGAGACAAGTAAATCTCTGAGTTTGAGGCTAACCTTGTCAATAGAGGATAACCTGGTCAGGACAGCCAGGGCTACTACTACACAGAAAAACTGTCTTGAAAAATAACAAGAACAAAGAAAGAAAACCAATTATTACTTGTAATTTATAGATGGTAATATAAAACTACAAAGAAAGAAAATTGGAGTCCAATAAAAGAAAGAGATTTGCCTGTAAGAAAATCATTGCTAATTTCTAGGAGTCTCAGGGTATAAGACAGAGTCCCATTTCCCTCTGTTTTTACTTGCAGAAGTCAATTCACGAGTCAGTGCCACATGTCACCTTCCTCGCATACTACCTGTGTCTATGTGTGTAACAAACCAGCGACATCATAAGCCATCTCACAGTCCCAGAGCTGCATCGTAAGCAAGGCCAAAGCCCTTTAAGAAAAATACAGCATGAAAAAGTATGTGCAAAACTGCATCAGTGCCCAGACATCTGAAATGCACTAAGATTCTATTACAGGCTCAGCAGCAGCTGCATCACCACCCACCTAAAAGCAAATCGATGTTTAACTGGAAAAATCTGTAAGACTCTGCCACAACCTCTGCTTCTTCTGCTCCACACAGCTTGAACTCCAGTGAGCATCTTCTTGAAAGAACAGATGATACTCAGTCGAGTTTCTGTTTAGGGAGTACGCTAAACAAAGGGAGCTCACACAGGGTATAATTGACAGAAGGTACTGGGAAAAAGTAGAATCTACCCAAGTTGAGGCTCAAGCTATACCACTCATTCCTTATAGCTAGCTATGTGACGTTAAGCAGAACTTTCCCCCTCAGTTCCTCTCAATCCCTCATCTATAGTGGGGATACTACTAATATTAGTGCCATAAAAGATGTTAATAATCCTATAAAATAAAACCAGAAAAAAAGAAGTCCTAATGCAAAGTCAGCCAGTCAGAAAGTTTTGTGATTTTATGGTTCCCTCAACTGAACTCCCAGTACATTCCCCATATGTTTGGCTCTTTAAAAAATCGATTATTAGAATGACTGAGAAGCCAGGCAGGATCTCTCTCTCTCACTCTCCCTCTCTCTTTCTATATATGTATATATATGTGTGTGTGTGTGTGTGTGTGTGTGTGTGTGTGTGTGTGTGTAATAGCAATTAGTGAAAAAAGAGGTCATGAATCTAAAGGAGAGTGGGGAGGGGGGTCTATGGGAGGGGTGGAAGGAAGCAATGGAAGGGAGAAATGTTGTAATTATATTATAATCTCAAAAAGCAAAAACAGTGTTATTCATAGTGGTAGCCCTGCCACCTAGTGGCATGTACAAATTTCAAGAGGAAGTCATTTGAAGGATCTGCCTCAAGAGATTAAGCAAGCAAATGCAGTATGCCTGAAGCAAAATGTATTCTTTTTTCTTCCTCGCAGCGAGCACACTCACAAAAAGAAACCCAAGTAAGTGAGAGCAATTGTGGGCCCCATTCCCATTTCCCACCAGGCCCTGGGCCTCCTCAAGCTATGGTTTCCCATTGTTGCATGTTATTTATCACTGGGTGCCAAGAAATATGCTTCCTCTTTCTTTTACTTCCTTTCTGGTCATAAGCCAGATGCCTGCTGAGCTCTAGAATGGCCTTAGAGCTTTAGTCAATTCCTCTCAAGCCCCAGTTCTTCCAGAAGGGCTTCCTTGAACGCTGGGTCTCCAAGTCAGGCAGAATGGATTTCTTCCCCATGCTTTATCAAGCTAGAGAAAGGGAAGAGCTCACACCCTCCCACCACCTGTGCACATGGACCTCTGTGGATTGTCATCGCCATTTGCTTGCAGCCCAAGAGATAGTTGCTTAGTATCTGGTCACGTTCAGATACTTTCTCCAATACTTTTCCCCTGTGACAGCAAGGCTCTGGCCCTTCTAACCTTATAGGGTGGTTGTACTCTTTTTGTCTATGCTATCCTCTCAGGGGACCTAGGGACAGAAAACACATCTCTGAGGCATCTCCATGCTATAGCACCCTCATTCACCCCACACAGTGTATTGAAGTGGGAGAAAGGTATGTTTGTTGAGAACTACATATGAAACTATCTATTGCAACTTGCTAATGACATGACATACCAAGCTATGTTCTTTGTACTCTTAGGGACAGGATCATTGTGATGATAAAAGAACCTAGCTATATGTAAAACCTCACATATGTGTCCCTTCCAACCCAATTCACCATTTTTCAAGAATATAATATACTGAATGTACTATTACTAACAATAGTCATCATGTTGTATAATAGAACTCAAGGTCACTTTTTCATTTGTTCATTTGTCTGTTGAGACAGGATCTCCTGTTGCTCAGGCTGGCCTCAATTATAGTTATATACTCTTGAGAATGCCTTTGAACTCCTGATCTTCCTGCCTCCATCTTCAGAGATTACAGGCTACAACACCCAACTTCAGAGTCACTCTAATCTGAATGAAATTTTATCTAAAGCGCCTACCCAGGGACAATCTATAGTAGATGCTCAATAAATATAATTCCCAAGGCATTGCTCATCTAGATGATAAATTATCTGCTTTTCTCTCTCAGTCCTTTTCTCGATGATTATGAAAGACTAAAAGTTCTTAAGGGCTCTCTGTTTGGGAGGCAATAACCTTAAGAGTAGCATACCAACCAGGAATGCTTGCACATGTCTGTAATTCCAGGAGTCCGGTGCCTAAGACAGGAATATTGCTCTAAGTTCCAGGCAGCCTGGACTACATAATTAAGTGTCACATCAGCCAGAGTTATACACCAATACCTCATTCCTCCCCCTGACCCCTATTACCATTCCAATCTGTGCAAGGCTTGTAGCCATAGTGACCACCTACAGAACTACAGGCACAGTACATAAATCAAAGCAATAACAATGAATTACCTAGTAAAGGTTTTTTTATTAATAAAATTTTGCCCACAGATTATATTTGCCCCAGGCTCTAAGGCATGTCTTCAGCAGGACAAACTCCAGTGGGAAGAGCAGGGAAGGAAGGGTATAGTGATCATTTGGTTTTGGAGAGGAGTGGATAGAATCAGAACTCTGGAAGGAGTTTAAGATGAAGCTAAAGTAAAATTCCACCATGATGGATTCTCTCCCCTCAGCACCTCTTCCTAAAAACCTACTATGTAAACCCATGGTATAGTGGCTGCCTCCTCATGTTTGTCTTACAGACCAATAGAAGCCAATACAGAAGAGATGTTCTGTCTCCTCATACCAACACAAATAAGGTATTTTCCTTCTTTTACAGAAAAGGGTTGTCTGAACTCTAAACAACTGCAACAAAGAAGAGGGAGAAGAAGATGTGTAGAAAAAGTGGCAGAGATAAATTTTTAAAAGATAACCAAATTTTAAGAACCATTTACAGATACAAAACTGAGGTCCAAAGAAATGTTTGCATGAAACAAGGAATTAGCAGCAAAGCCAGCTCTGGAGATCAGAATTTTTAAATTTCTATCCAGTATCCTTTCAAATTCACTAGTCTGTCCTTTTAAAAGCTCTCCAATATATAACTCACATGAAAACTTTAATATAATCAAAATGCATTCATTCGTTGCAGACTAGTACTGTCATCACTTGTTAGCTATGGGAATGTCAACACATTACTTATGTATTTAGAAGTGTCTCAGACTAACTTATATTTTCACAAATTAACAATCAGTGATTACCCTGAAACATTAAAAAAAACATAGCTCCAGAGAAGAAGTAAGTTCCAACTAAATCCAAAATTAGATCAACAAAACTATCTCCCAATTCTAATATATAAATGAGACAAAAAGCATCATGGTATTAGAAGGGAAGTCATCATTTACTACTCTACCATGTGCTTGTATATAGTACTTCCTTCCAAGCGATTTGCTTTTTCTTATTGTCTTGTCCATTTCTGATCTGGGATTTTGTACAACCTTACATGTCACAATGATAATTTTTTTGGATAATGGTAAAGATATAAATAATATTACATTCTTATAACAGCAAAAGGCCTATAAAGTAAGCCTCAATTTTCTCCCTTTTGTTCACACTTGTATACATACATGGACACACATGCCACAGCATGCATCTGGAAGTAAGAGGACAACTTACAGGCATGGAGGAACATGCCTAAAATCTTAACACCTGGGAGGTTGAGGAAGAAGGATTTTGAATTAGAAGCCAGCCTAAGATACATAGTATGTTCAAGACACCTTGAGCTTTTAGAGAGAGAGAGAGAAAGAGAACATCTTTAAAGTTGAAAGGAAAATATATTCATATTTTCAACAAATCTAGCACAGAATCAATCACACTCCCTGCCTCTTGTCTCCATTGTTCAGGATTGAGGACAGGATGTATTAGAACAATGAGACTTAGATTTCAGGTTGCCAAAATTAAACTTTCCCTCCTTTTTAATTAAATATGGAGCCAGACTTTGTTTTCACCTTCCTTGGAAGGGCAAGTAGGAAAAGAAGCCTTTTCCAAAACATAGGATGAATGGGTGGTCTGCACTATGATGGTTAAGGAACAAGGCCCTCCCTTACCTGGTCAAACAGCTGCTTGCCAGTGGTGTTGGGCTGAATGGCAAACTCCAGCTCTGCATCCATGGTGGTCACACGCACGCTGATCTGAATGAGATGAAAGAAAGCAAATTAGTTTTCTGGCTATGTGATCAACAGGGGGTTGAACAAATGTCTCTGTTCAAATTTGGAGAAAGAAATCCAAATGCCAAGAAACTGAGTAAACAAGGAACTGGTATGAAGAAAGGTAAAATATTGACATAAGTCATAACTTAGCCATATTCTCAACCACATTACTGAAGATAAAAAAAACCACAGACAATGCTTCACCAAGAGGCAATCAAGAATGCAAATCATCCTACTACAGAGGAAGAAAATACTGACTTTATTTCTTCCAGAAAGTGTTTGCTATCTACCCCAGCCAATTGCAGCCCACAACATTTTCTTCTTACCTCTGGACTACAGCCTGACTTATCTATGGTATAAGTAGGTAGTTGTAGGAGCAAGGTAAAATAAAAAAATGGTTTCTCTGCTATGAACTTTCCAAGCTACAACATCAACCTTCTAAGCAAAATGTGCCACACCCCTTTGGTGGGTTGAAGGACATTTTCATAGGGGTCATCTAAGACCATCAGGACACACACATATTTTCATTACTACTCACAACAGTAGCAAAATTACAGTTATGAAGTAGAAATGAAAATACTTATATGGTTGGCGGGTCACCTCAACATGAGGAACTGTGTTAAAGGGTTGCAGCATTAGGAAGTTGTGAACCACTGCAGTAGAAGCATGATGGTTATGGGAGTAACCAACCACTTTCTAATTGAATTTGAGACCAACTCCACAGGAGGGAAGTCATGCTCAGTACTGTAAGCCTGCTCAAAAGCCCATGACTGGGGAGGTCATATGCCTTAGTGGGGAACCTACTAATATTGATTTACTCTGTAGGCATGGAGTCAAACAGGCCTCTAAATGTGTGCTTATATCCATAAACTTATTTTACTCTAAACCTTAAAGTTCCTTTTTGCAATGGCTTTCAGTTAAGATAGACTCAGAACTGATCAAAGTGCTGAGAATAATTGATTTCTGAGTGCTTGATCCTAAACAAGGCATCTGTACTTACCTGCTCCAAACCAAAGCCTGGAGAACATCATAAAAGATAGGGTAGAAAGAATATTAAGTGCCGGAGGGTGGAGAGGAGTCCTGTAACTGTTGTCTATGAACTCACAGAAATACTGCATAGTTACACAAGATCTGCACAATATTGGGCACATCAACGAGGACAGGGCGGGTGCTAATGAGACTCCATCCTTCCCTAAAGAACTATAGCCAATTAAATGTTAGGGGATCATTCTGGTAAGTTGTCCTTGCTCAAGTAAGTAATCTCCCACAAGTGTTCATGTAAGAAACCCTAATTAAATGCAGTGGAGCATACACATACACAACAACTATTGAAGGTAAAGAGAGTAAGAAGGACAAAATGAAGAATATGACCAAAATATGTGTACAGGTATACAGTGTCTATACATACACATACACATACACATACATACACATACACAAACACATACACATACACAAACACATACACATACACATACACATACACAATTGTAGAAGAAGAAAAACAAATTTAAAACTGGGTTCCAAGCCTAGTCTCGGTATAATGGGCTCAATTTACCAACATGAATATCTCTTATCCTTTTCTTGGACCTTAATTTCCCACATCTGCACAAGAGCAGAAAGACATGGGATGAGGGAGCAGCTAATCAAAGCAATAGCTAAGGATCATCCTAATAATGAAGTCTGTGGTTCTATACACTGCCTTGTTCTGCTAACACTTCCTTTATTTGTGTCTTACTGTTCTTTCCAGGGAGAGGAAAAGGACATCAGCAGAGGTGAATGTGTACAATATAAATGCGCTATCACAAAGAGAGAGAGCCAGGCACTGACCAAACTATAAGGCAGGAGTGAAGAGGGGGAGTGTAATGGTGTAATTATATTTTTCAAAAATATTTAAATGAAAAAATATTAATATATTGCATATTTTAAATGAAAAGAGAAAAATATCAAGTGACAGTAGCTTATTAAGGAAGGGGAATGAGAACTCCTAGTAGCCACTAAAATCGAAGCTTTTAGACAGTCTCAGAGGCTAACAGTTTAGTTAGTGCATCACAGTCCACCATTTCCCTGACGTGTCTATGCGGCCTCTTCTAGGACTATCTCTGTCCAATAGCCCAGATACAGACTACTAGCAAGTTGGAGTTATGCTGTCTACAGTTTTAGACAAAAGTTCAACCCCAAATTATCCTCAGAGACTGTTGCTACTCAGGAGACACAAGCCAGGACGCAAAGATGGTTTTCTTTCCTGCCATCTCTGGTAGACTTGTTGCTTCACAAAATTCCTGATACATCATGGGTATTCAAAAACACAAACTATGAGATTGTTTGCCAAGATGTGTTTGGCCATAAGATGAAAGTTTTTCAATGGCCTACCATATTTCCAAGGTAATGGAAAGAACTCTTGAACTGCAAGGAAGTGGGCAATCATTGATATGCAGAGACAGATGGTCCCACTTTCCGAAAATACCTCTGCACAGAGGAAGTTGAATTAAAGAAATCCTTAGAAGCCTTTTTTAATTAAAAAGAGAGCATATCAGGTAGCCACATAGGATTTCATTAGCACTAGACAGCATAGTCACAGTGTTAGAAATAGATTCCCTGGCCTACGCCAAAGAAAATTGAGATTTTATTTTGAAAGAGATTTTTCTTCAGTAAAACCTTGACAGTGGTGGTACTAGTAAATACAGTAACAATAAACAACCACTTTCATGTATCTAGATATACAACTCACTAGGTACTTCATATGTACTTCCCCTCTAACACAGTAACAGTCATTATTGTGATTGTTTCTACATTGGGGATCAGAACATAGATATATTATTATATCACAGACACATAATCATAATGCTAGTATGTGAGCGTTTGAATACCGGTCTATGTCCAGACTTTACTATTTAAACCAATATGCTAATTTCTTCTTACAAAATATGGAAGGCTTCCAATGGGAAAAAAAAGTTAAAATTTTATACTACTAGATATTTTGCTATACAATACATCCAAATGATGGTTTATTATGTAGTCATATAAAATATCATGCTTTGAGGATATCAAGATGGCTCTTGCTACCAAGTCTGATGATCTGAACCAAAGCCTTCAGACACACATGGTGGAGGAAGAGAACCAACTCTGTAGATTGTCCTCTGACCTCCATGTGCACACATACCACACACACACTCACACTCACATTCACATACATACACACAAATATAATAAAATTATAAGCCTAAAATTTCATACAATATATGAGCTCAGCTTCATAATGTATATAGTGCTAGTTAGGCTTTGTTTCTGAATGCTAAACTTATGGGTGCTTATTCCCTTGTTGAAACAATATTCACACTATTGAGGGGAAACCAAAATACAGACTTGCCAAAGATGTGGATCCCCTTGGAATAGGTATGATACTGAACGTTACTAAGTCTTTGTATCTTTGGGCTTTTCACAAGCATGAAGGTCAGGTAGCACGAACTTGGAGGCAGACACCATTTTACCAGCTAAACACTTCTGATGAATACCAGACCAAAGGAATAACTTTATAAATAAATCTCACCAGAGATTTGGGGAGGAAATCTATTTCAGGACGGACAATGAGACAGGAAAGTTCCCAAAGACAAGTACAAGTAAAGCAAGTGCCTTGTGAGGGTAAGGCAAGGTTAGCCAGCTTACTTGGTGTTACCCTAAGCATCCTGCCAACCCAGTGAGCCCTACAGTAATGAGTTGTCATACAGTATGGAGAAAATGGCCCAGCAGGCTGGAATTTGTGAGGAAAGGGTTGCCATGCTAAATACATCCTCAAGTCACCTTGTGCTGCTATATAATGGGGATGAGGAGATGGGTCAGTAAGTAGAATTCTTGCTCTGCAAGTGTGAGTACCTGAGTTCAATTCCCAGTACCCACATAAAAGTTGGTATCAATGGTGCATGTCTCTAGTTCCAGCATGGCAAGGGGTAGAGGGAGGCAGATTCCTGAGCTCAGTGGCGAATCAGCTTAGTCAATCAATAAGCGTGAGTTTCAGCATGAGACCCTTTTTCATAAATAAAATGGAAAGTGATAGAGGAAGTCACCTGACATTTACCTCTGTCCTCTACACATGTTCATACCCACACAAGCATGTATATACAGCATACAATATGCATACCAAAAAACAATGAATAAGGATATAGAGAGGATGGAATGGGATACTGACTGTTCTAATACATTAGTTTATTCTCATCTCAATGTTTATTTCTAATCTAGAATTACACAATTACATCTCTGTAATTATAAGTAGGCACAAAGAAAATGCTGGCTACATGAATAGCCATTGAATAAGAGACTATGAAATAGATGTGTTTAGGGTAAGGATGTAGTTCAATGGTAGTGCAGTTACCCAGCATGCACAAAGCTCCATGGATAGTACAGGCGTGGGAGCACAGGTAGCCTAAACACAGTACATTTAGAGAAAGAAGAGGACATTTTACTTCTTAACCTTTTTATGGCAGGTACCAGTCTTGCCAATCTAGCAAAGGCAATGGGACACTTCTCAGAATATTTTCAAAGGCATAAAATAAATACAAGGAGACAATCTATATTGAAATGTATGTCAAATTTAGTAACATGGACTTACATATTGTATAAAGTTACCTAGCATTGGGTCTTAATAGTTACTACTGTGATTTCTTTTTTTTTAATCTTTTCGTTGTTTGACAGATTCATACACGTATACAATGAATTTCAGTCAATTTACACACCCTTCATCCCCCCTCTATCTCCCATTGGCACTCTTCTTAATGAGTCCCTGTCCTTGTTTCTATGTCTTCCTTTTGCTGTTTGGTCCACTAAGTTTAATTTGATTTCCTTGCCCAAGCATGGATGAGAAGTTTGTGAATATAGTAAGGAAATTTATCTGTGGCTGTGTCTTTTACAAGAGTGACACCACTCCTTCAATAAGCATTGTCAACAGTCCATGAGGTAGAGGGGGTGACACGTCTTCTGGGTACAAC